ATCAGTGGCAGGTCAGTGAGAGGTAGAAACGCCTTCTCATATGACAATATAGGTATTTGAGACGATCATATTCGTCACTAACTGCAGACGCTGACTGCAAACGGTAACTCGTATGTCTGTTTTAACACATGTAAACAAATAAACAGTCCTTTCCATCTGTAATAGCAAACAAAGGCTGTTTTTAATATCTGTCGACAACGAATGCTATTGAGTCCGGCGTGAAAACAAAGGACTGTACTTTGTCTCTATCACTGCAGGTCGGTATAAAAGCGAATGCCTGTGATGTTTTGGGTCATCTTTGGTGGCTTTCGTCACCTTTGATACAGGACGCACAGTCTCAGGACCATTGTGACCATGAACGGCTTAAGCCCATGTCTACGAAATGAAAGTCTATATTTCAATTAATTACATCTTTCTAATCCTGTTCCCATGTGTGTCCTGTGTCGCTGCCGCCGAAGCGTCGTCACAGCGGTATGGGGTGTGTGTAGGCGAGTCACGTGTCGTTACCGGCTTCTTTTGCCCGCCTTGTACACATCCTGACTGTTTCTGTCGTCATTATCTTACAACGTCAACATCCTGACGCTGAAAGATACAATATGAAATTGTGCTTACAGCTGGATTGATACTATTACAAAATAGGATATAAAAGAAGACGATTTAAAACTTTGTGCATTTAAAGCTATCTTTCTCCGTCGTTAGTAAAGCCGTATTTGTAGACATGGTGTGATTCACGGACATTGACCTACCTGTTGAGCGGCTTCAGAGAGCCGATAGCTACACCCAATCATGCTATACCCAATCAACAAGTTCTTATTGTGAAATGGAGAAAGAGCAATGAGTGAGTGAGTGAGTTTAGTTTTACGCCGCACTATATGGCGGCGGTCTGTAAATATTCGAGTCTGGACCAGACAATCCAGTGACCAACAGCCTAAGCATCGATCTGCGCAATTGGGAACCGATGACATGTGTCAACCAAGTCTGCAAGCCTGACCACCCGATCCCGTTAGTCGCCTCTTACGACAAGCATGGGTTACTGAAGATCGGTTCAATTAATACTGTAATATTGTTGGTGGATCATATAGTAACGAGTGAGTGAAATTAGTGAGTTATATTAAAAGTGACATTGGCAGTATTTCTGCCATATCGTGACCAGTAACAGTTTGAAAGTAGATGTGTCGATGTAGTGTTGTCGATGTAGGGTTGTCGATGTAGTGTTGTCGATGTAGGGTTGTCGATGTAGGGTGGTCGATGTAAGGTTGTCGATGTAGTGTTGTTGGTGTACGGTTGTCGATGTAGTGTTGTCGATGTAGTGTTGTCGATGTAGGGTTGTCGATGTACTTGCTGGATAGGTTTATGATCCATAGTAACATCGACAGTATTTTCATGCACATTGTATCAAGGAACAAACCTTATACAGATATTCATTTCTGACGACGAAACCCGATTGTTAACATGACGCTTCTGTTATTTGTAAATTATCTGCTTATCCTATGTTGCTGGCATGGCCCAGTGAAACGTTATATTTCAGTATATACCTGACTGAGATACATGATGCCCACTCCAACCCGTCCCTGCGTTGATTTTATGCCGAGAAGCGGACAAGGTGACATATAGTTGAAGACCAAAGGGTTTGCTTTTAACACCACATTTCCAATTATTTCGCTAAATTTGGTTTCATAGCATGTAAACACCATCTGTTAGTGTGTATCTTTGAGGGCTGTTGTATTCACACATTACGGACAGTATGTATACTCTAAATATCTACTGACTGTAAATTAACCCCTAATCAATTTTTTCTATAATTTATTGCTACGCATGACATCATTTGCAATACCTCGTATCTTCACATTAGTAACATGTGTTGTAACATATGGTGAACACGCCATAAATCACTGTCGTCCTCTGGTATGTGTGTTCTGTTAATAGTGCAGCACTGTGTATAACAGCAGGCACCTCTACAACCATCAAACCCCGTCACAAGGTAAAGACTGATTTTCTTCCAATTAAGTATTAATCGACTATGTTCCACTTGTTTTAACATTTGCTATGCTGCAGTGTTCATGAACACACATATTTCCATGTTGGTTATGACCAGATCTTTAGACGTCCTTGCTTAAGCCTGTTGAAAAATCATTGCCTGAAAGCAAAGGCTTGAAATTATTCGGATTCATTGCTGTGTGATCTTTTTTGTATTCACAGAAATATGTACCAAACGCAGTGCCCTGTGTACAATTCCGTGGTGTTATAAGCATGTTTTTATACATCGTCATCAAACATTGATGATACTGAATGTATATGTGTGTCCTGAACAACCTGTGACATTCGTTACAAACACACGAGGAGGCAAATCTATTGTTCATCGAAAAATAAACCACGAGAACATTTGCTAAATGTCAAATCAGGATATGAATGACACGTCATTTTGTCACCGGTTCGTCAAGTTTTGAAAATGAACTAACTGCGTCTTCCATGATATTTTACAACTTTATTGAGGACGTTGGATGTTGTTGCCATGATCAGCATTATCTGGAGGAAAGTCACCCCGGATAGATGTAGTTGAAGGAACAAAGCCCTAGTTCAGGAGTTAACCTTGTTCCTCTAGTTCGTTTGTTTCCCTTATAAATCTGCGTACATGGAATAGCATAACATTATTATATATCTATGTTTTTATAATCATTTGTGATTATAAATCTCTCCAAGATGATATTATTGTTGACTGATGACTATTTCGGACACAAACACTCTCGCTTGTCAAGTGCAAACATGCTCAGCCTTTTGGCTTGACGGAACAGCTGTTAAAGCGGGGTAAATATAACTATGGCGTGATTATACGCAACTAATTAATATGGACCGTGTATCGTAAGGCCTGGTCCAAAGTTGTATAACTAACACGTGTAGATTGTGTTTCACGTGTTGAGTGCAGTCAATATCCCGTTATCAACAACGTGTGACACAAGTTGTGTTATCACGCCACAAAGATAACAAACGTACGATGCATCTACAGATAGCACTTTCCGTATCATCAGTAATTACAGATACGACAATATAGGAAACCTAAGCGGCGACAGCCTGCTACTTTTTTTCACAATAGTTTCAAGTTAAGGATTCATATTTCCATGTGTTTTTTTAACGTTGTCTATTAAAATTAAAGTGGCTTTCATGAAACTGTCAATAGCAATTGGGACTGAATACGTAGATTCAGCGATGTTTCGTGGATCTCTACTTCTGAAAGCGGGCTGATATTGCCTTGCAGTCCGATGAGACATCACGGGAAAAGAGCAGCAACAGCGTAGATCGTAGGAAAACCTAATGCTGCCAATGTTGTAGCATAAATATCATTTTCAGCGAAAGTTCTCGTTTCTTCGAGTATTTACTCGGTGCTTCGAGTATTTCTCGTTGCTTCGAGTATTTTTCTCGTTACTTAAGGTTTCTGTCCAAAACTTGAAATTTCGAGTACTTACTCGTTACTTCAGGTACTAGTATTTCCTCGTTACTTAAATTATATTTCGTTACTTCGATTATTTTCTCGTTGCTTCGAATATGTTTTCATTATTTCATTTTTGTTCAAAAACTTGAAATTTCAAGTATTTACTCGTTGCTTCAAGTATTTTCTTGTTACTTCAATGTTTTGAAAAAGAATTGTAGGAACGAGAAAATACTCGAAGCTACGAGAAATTAATCGAAGCAGCGAGCTATTTATTGAAATGACGAGAAAATAATCGTAGCAACGAGTAAATACTTGAAATGTCAAGATTTTTAGAGAAAATCTTGAAGGAAAGAGCAAATGCTCGAAGTTTCGAGAAAATTATTGATTTAACGAGAAAATACTCGAAGTAACGAAAATTGTTGAGGACAAAAAGTGGCAGCATTAGGCTTTAGTTACTCGTTCTGATAATCCGCTCGCGTACCTTCGCAATAGCTGCAGATGTAAGCGATACCTGACGCAATGTGTCGGTTCTGTTGGTGTCATGTAGGCACTTTATCACACCACAAATACATAATGCATTTCTCTCAATAATACTAACTATCAGCCCTCAGGGAAGCTACCATTTAATTTATTCCAATAGATTCCAATATTAGATCACAATATTAATTAAAATGTTCGAATTAATTAACACAACATTGCATTAATTCGCCCTCGCGCCCTCTACCGGCCGAACATTATTTCAAGTGAACCCCATAGAGTTATGTCCCTTGGAGCGCTCTTTGCGAATATCCTACGCACTGAACTGACTGCAACCAGTTCGGTAAACACTCACAACACCGCGTGCGACAGTTGTCGATGTACGGAGCAATTGTTAACATTCCATATATGGCAAGTGTTCTCTGTTTGGAAGCTGATCAGCACATTTGTTTACACTGAATAGCAAATAGACTAGAAGCATTAACGTTTGCAACTGTTTCAATGCTTTCACATTTGCAAAGGAAATGACTGTTCTGAAGTATATGTGTGATATTTTCCAGCAAACAAAGTGACAGTAACGTACAATAAACTGTAAGCGTACCATAGCTACAATGCATGTTAGCAAATAAACCAACATCAGCTGAGCTGTATCTCCTCGGTACATCCTGGCAACACGAATAATACAACGTCGGATTGCACCAACTAGGTTTCTGTTGTTGTGCTATACACATTACTGTGATATATTCCACAGTACCTGGAAAGATGTCATCGCCCAAAGTGATCATCTTGTATTTCAAGAGAGAGATGGCAAAACTACTACAGGAAGAACTGCCTGGTGTTGAGGTGGAGCAGTTCACACGACCGTTATCAGGTAACCACGCCATATTGATCAGATATACCAGGATCCGCCATGTGACCCAAGTCGTTCCCGTCGGCTAAATAGACTTAGTTCGTCTTATACTCATATCCCTATAACCATATTCCACAATACTGAAATAACCATATTCCACTGTATTGAAAACCTGCTCGCCTGTGTAATGCGAAGACCTCGGATGGCTCAACACAGTCAGTGACCATTGCTGTACCGCACATGACTTCGGGGCTCCACGTTCAAGTGCTATGTACCCAACTGCTTCAGACAAACGCAGATTCGGTGAAAAACGTAGCCTTAATGCGAGCATCGCCAGTGAAATGTCCCGCTTGCATCCCTGTTACACTATCGCCAGTAGTTACCGATGACTCTTGGGGCAGATCAGGAGTGAGCAGGGTTTTCCAACGGGAGCATAACCCGTCTGACACACTGGGTAATGCAGAAGACTGCAGTGTTGAAGAGTTTCCTTATTCTCCAAAACTTTCTTGGAGGTTTCGGCTAATCAGTGCTTCCTGGAACAAGTACCGTTCACCGTCTAGACCGTGTGTAAACGGGACAGAGGTATAAGAGTTAATGATGAGCTCAACCAGGTTAACCACCCTGACTGGACTAGGACCACCCTACATCTCTCTGCAGCATTTAATGTAATTGTTAGAATAATAATCTCACCCATAATAAATACATTTCTCCATTCTCAAGGTTAACTGTGTGTCCATGATTATGTATTTTCCGAATCATTGAAATTAGGAATATTGACATTGAATAGTAGCGTGGGTTTTTTATCAAACGACACATTAAGTTCATAGACATACCTAAAGATAAAGAGAGCATAATTATCATATCCATATCACAAATATACTTTCATCAAGTCCTCATTGATGTATTGACATACCGATAGTCTGTTGTCATGCTATATGGGATGCAGGCATTGATATAGAATGGTTTGTGAACTAGAACTTGAGATGAGTGAATGAATACGTTTGTAACATCAGTGACAGCAAGACCTGATGCAGGTCGTAGGCGTTTGCCTAACGGGAACGGGATTCAAACCACATGTCCCGGGTACGGCCAAGGCAGGTCAGCGAAATGCGGCGCTCAAGACGAAGCGATCGGAGCTGTATCACATCCACCAGTGTACTGCAGCAACACCACTAAACGTGGACACAAACTGTTCCAATGTGCTTGTAATTCAATTATTGTTTGTTTGTTTTTTATACAGACTGTGATGTGGTCAGGCAACCCGTCATTACCAACCCAAACACAAATGATTGTAAATGTACCTTTAATCCCATGAATGAGCGTTCCTTTATCGTAATCGGTGTCTTGATAAATACCATACATATATTACGCCCCATAAATGGTGAACTATGAGCATACTATCTGTATACAGCACACTCTTTCTTATACCACACAAGGCACTCTGGTATGAACAGGCCAACGCATTTTGATACTATGAAAAAACACAAACAAATAAATCCCCAAAATAACAATTATATTATAGATTCTGCCTTAGAAGAGAAGTTGGCTTTGCTGTCAGAGGCAGAGATCATTTTCGGGACACCTTCTTGGATGACAAATGTCATACCACGATGCACTAACCTCAAGTGGATCCAGTCGATAACAGCGGGTAAACTCGATTCTCTCTCACATGTGAAACTTAAAATACCTTTTATGTTCATATTACATAAAAAGTAACTGTGTTGTGTATACAGCGCCGTAAATATTATGTTGGTGAAGATAACATATAAATGATTATATTTGATCACTCGTCTGATCAAAGTGTTATCATAACCCATCCACTGAAACAGCATTTAAAACTCGTGACAGAAGGTCACGCTCTGGAGATGGCGGAGTGGTCTGACCACACAGTTACAGCCTATACCTGGTGACAGAAGATCACGCTCTGAAGGTGGCGGAGTGGTCTGACCACACAGTTACAGCCTATACCTGGTGACAGAAGGCCACGCTCTGAAGGTGGCGGAGTGGTCTGACCACACAGTTACAGCCTATACCTCGTGATAGAAGGTCACGCTCTGAAGGTGGCGGAGTGGTCTGACCACACAGTTACAGCCTATACCTGGTGACAGAAGGTCACGCTCTGAAGGTGGCGGAGTGGTCTGACCACACAGTTACAGCCTATACCTGGTGACAGAAGGCCACGCTCTGAAGGTGGCGGAGTGGTCTGACCACACAGTTACAGCATATACCTGGTGACAGAAGGTCACGCTCTGAAGGTGGCGGAGTGGTCTGACCACACAGTTACAGCCTATACCTGGTGACAGAAGGTCACGCTCTGAAGGTGGCGGAGTGGTCTGACCACACAGTTACAGCCTATACCTGGTGACAGAAGGTCACGCTCTGAAGGTGGCGGAGTGGTCTGACCACACAGTTACAGCCTATACCTGGTGACAGAAGGCCACGCTCTGAAGGTGGCGGAGTGGTCTGACCACACAGTTACAGCCTATACCTGGTGACAGAAGGCCACGCTCTGAAGGTGGCGGAGTGGTCTGACCACACAGGTACAGCCTATACCTGGTGACAGAAGGCCACGCTCTGAAGGTGGCGGAGTGCTCTGACCACACAGTTACAGCATATACCTGGTGACAGAAGGCCACGCTCTGAAGGTGGCGGAGTGGTCTGACCACACAGTTACAGCATATACCTGGTGACAGAAGGTCACACTCTGAAGGTGGCGGAGTGGTCTGACCACACAGTTACAGCCTATACCTGGTGACAGAAGGTCACGCTCTGAAGGTGGCGGAGTGGTCTGACCACACAGTTACAGCCTATACCTCGTGACGGAAGGCCACGCTCTGAAGATGGCGGAGTGGTCTGACCACACAGTTACAGCATATACCTGGTGACAGAAGGCCACGCTCTGAAGGTGGCGGAGTGGTCTGACCACACAGTTACAGCATATACCTGGTGACAGAAGGCCACGCTCTGAAGGTGGCGGAGTGGTCTGACCACACAGTTACAGCCTATAATGAGTGTATGTAGCACTTGTGTTGATACAGGCAACGCTTCGGATAATTGAAAAAAAGCAGGGCGATGTTGTTCCATTTGTTAACCAAAGATTGGCTTAATGAGCTGGAATAGGTTACCGGTTCCAGCTGTCATATCAGTACAGCAATGTATGCTGCCTCACAAAGCCTGCTTCCTCACTTGCGACATGCACATGTAGGCGGGGGATTTCATGATTCAATTCACGATTGACTGATTATTTCTTTCGTTGCATTGAGGTATGAAACTAAAAACCAATGTGCAAACTGTATGAATCCGCGTAGCGGATTCTTACAAAAGTTTGCACATTGGTTTTACCCTCAATGCAACGAAAGAAATACACAGTCAATCCTTATAATTAAATTCAACAACAAATACTATAGGCTTTCAACAATATTTTAGTTAAACACAATCAAATTCATCGAAACAGATATCTTTGTTACCACCGATTTACGGATTAACATTTTCGGTGTAAGAAATCGGTAATGGCGTGACATGACTCAGGTGACTCATTTACATAAAATGACACGCCTACCAAACCATTAGCCAATCAGCATAGAGCACCCCCAAACAGCTGTCAATCAACCAAGCTAACATCGGGGTTGCGAATCAGAGCGGAACAACACAACGTGACGCATGCCGGTAACGGCAAAGTTTCAAGTTCAAACATTTGAATTATTACCAGCGAACTGAAAGACACAGTTTGAAAAGTGAGAATTGGAAATGAAGCCCGATGACATGAAGTTAGTGGAACTGAGATTGTTAGTGGCAGCAGTATTTGCGCAAGTGGAAAGGGGCTGTGATGTGACTGGGATTGCGATGCCATGACCCGATGTTCCAACGTGCGCATGCTCTTGTCGAGGCGTTACAATGGCGGAAAGCGTCTCGCTAATTCTTAGTTTTGAGTAGTCGTTGTGTGGCGACTATAACTACGCACGGAACTTTCATTCCAATGGCCACTCATAGACATTATGTGACGAAGTTCAAAGCCAGCGTCACTCATGGCTTGGATTGCTGTGGCGCGAAGGCAATGAGCAGTGTATGACTGACTACATTGGGCATTGCGACATATGTCAGACATGAAACGAGTGAACTGGTATTTTTTGACTGGGGTTGCTGTATACCAAATGTTGTGTGCGTCTGGAGAACTAAGTGCATCTTTATTACAGTGCGAAAAAGTGATCCGGCATTTGGGTCACTTTTGTCAAGGAGCTGGCGAAGTGCATTGACGGGACATTGGTTTATATCATTCGTCGCGTACATTCGTTTGTCGCTTTGCGCTTCATCGCTGCTGAGACCACCCTGGATGTTTTTTTGTTTCGTTTCGTGGGACAGTGTGACATATTCAACATTGCTATCATCTACCGCAAATTCAAAGGATGTGGGCGTAAGCTGCTGGTGAAATTCAAGACCACGACTTACAAAATGGATGGCCAAGTCGTACCATACTTTGTACCGGAGGATAACAGGATTGGATGCCGAATGCAGATAAGTGCTAATTTTCATCAGATCACTTGTTTCAATGATTGATTTATGTTGTGTGGGACGTGACAAGCCATGTTGTACATTGTACTTTAATTTAGCATCAAGCATATCATTTGCAGACTTAAACTGCTTATCTCTTACAATGTCAATATCTCTCCCGATATCATTTAAGTGTCTTTTCAGGGCAGAACGAACATTTTTTTAAAGTGTTCTTGTGATACTCGGCAGCATGTGCAGCCGGCATATTTTCACATCTTGTTTCCTGGTTTTTAGGCTGTGCCTCAGTGTAGAAAAATCTCAACTTTGTGTTAAGTTCCTCTGGTGTAATTGTTGAAAAATCCACAGTCCTCCCCTCGCTCTCGAACGACCAATCTAAATAAACAGAACGAAAACAATATCTAGAAACCTGACTATGACAGACCCAACTATGTAAACTTTGAACTAGGTAACTTTATAGCAAATCATTTTTCTCGGTTAGATCTACATAATTTAATCTCATTCTGATAATTGTTCCATTTTTAAAAATACAACTTTGTGCTGATGAACTGTCTTTCGTTTTGAGAAAATATACGTAGGATGGAATTTGAAAATAATATTTATATGAATTGTGTATATCTACCTTGGAATAGTTTAACACCCCATTTTGTGTTTCTTTTTGTGGATGTTGATTGTCTGTAGTCGTCCATTCGAAGTAAATCATTATTTGATAAACGTTTGAAACGATGTGTTTGGGATGGCTTATCATCGACTTGCATTGCACACGTCATCTCGTGATTTGCCGATGTTTTTGTAGATCTGGTTGATGCTGTTATCTCTAACAAACTTTCAATTTCTTCCAGGTCTAAATCATCCGGAAAATCAATGTTATCCGTGCTAAGAGTTGCAACGTTTCCGGTAGATTGATCTTCGAAAATCGACTCAAAATTCCCCAGATCAAAACTTCCGTACTTGGAATCGGCCATCTTGTTGGAATGTAAACAAGACAAGTTGCAGACGACCGTTCGCTGACTGCACGTGGTAACCACAGTAACCAGTCAAATAATGTATTATGACAAACACTTTTTTATTAAATAAACACTTTATTAACGTTCACGGATAATTTTGAGTTGTTTGTTTATGTTAACCAAAATGTATCACTTCAATGTTTATCCAAAGTTCATTAAGGTACCCGAGTGCAAGGGAATTCCCTCGCTGTGTAAAGGTATTCCCCGACATTCCTCAGGTCGAAAGTAGTCCGGATCGGTGGGCAAGGCTTATTTTTTAGATTCATTGGGAAATGAAATCAAAAGAAATGTTCCCAGTTAACCAATCAGATTGCCAGAATTTTAATGAACACAATAAAAATTTAATTATGATTCAATTGACGTTACGTTACTGCATATAGAAAAGGAGTAGAACATGATCTGGCGTGATGTTGTCCCAGTAACGAACGTCATTCTCCACGAGTAACGTGACCGTTCTACAGGATGCTTGTACAACCATGAACGACGACAGTTGAACTCATCCGGCAATAGCACACAGACCCAGTGTTATCTTGCGAACGCCAGACGTTATTTACGCCAGAGTGGGCTTCTCTGACGGTGACGTGGAGCAACAAAACGGAAACGTACGGTTTTAACACTGATTGGTGTCTAGCCCAGAATTGTACAAACTGTTATTTTGGCAGTAGGAAACCGATTCCATAGATGCACCACGTGCTGGTGCTGTGCTGCTGACGTGACCCAGATAATAATACTTTTATCTTAGCATTATATGATAATGCAAACTTGAAACTCATGTATATCTTCTTAAAAAAGGAATGTCACCACCATGATGTTTGAACTAGAATTGCCTATTCATTTGCAATGTCTATCTGTTCCAGGTGTGGATTCGGTAATCAAAGAAGTTACAGAACATAAGGTAACACGTCGAGCCTTTCATGCAAATTATATGACTTCATCTGGGTAATAATGAGTCTCTCACATTTGGCTCTCCCGTGTCTATCCTTCATTGAAACTAATAGAGAAATTGGATAATCAGAAATGATAGGCATATGGCGTACAGAGATCAGTAGTCCATGCAAGCAACATGGATTACCTGTTTCTAGTCCCAAAATTGATGAGGAGACAAATGAAGCATAAATTGATGATAGGATAGACGTACAAGCGATGTTTCGATGTAGATTCTTACATCGTTATCAAGCTAAAAGTGAGTACAACCAAATGGTAAGGAGCATATATACATGGTATGTTGTGACAAGCAGCAGATTAACATTACCAACAGCATGTTATAGAAACCATCTTCTCTGGTTCTCCAACCGTCAGGACCATTCACCAGGCCAATGGCCGTAATCCACCCTCCACTAAGCAACACCAAAGGAGTGATTTACAAGATTAACTGTGAATGTGGTGATTCTTATATAGGTGAAACCTCCCGTCCCGTCGACACCTGCATAAAATAACATAAAACCTCTACAGCCAAGGCAGACAGCAAATCAGCCCTCTCAGATCACCAGATAAATTCCCTACCCATCAAATCAAGTTTGACGAATTTGAAGTCCTGTCAACCAAAAAAATCAGGACTTCACAAAATGAAAACTGTTGGAAGCCATCGAAATCCGCCGCCACAAACCTTTGATCAACAGAGACCAAGGATACTACATCCCATCAGCCTATGAAGAACTAATCAAGCTATAGACCATCAATAGCACCCCGTCTGTTTGTTGTTACTACTTAATCCCCTGTTTATTGGCTTCATCACGAGTGTTATGTGTTGTTTTAGTTCCCTCCTGGCCTCTTCCAATTATGTACCACTTGTTATTTCTATAACATGCTTCGCCAATTGCCCATAGTTGTACTTTTTCTGGGATAACGATGAGCATTACATCGTGATGACACGTAACAGAAGTTATCAGTTCATAAGTTTGGTTATTTTTTGACACCGTGAAAAATTGACCGAACAGGTCTCGTTTTAAATCATAAAAATAGTAATGTTGAATGTAATGCTATGAATACTTGATTTACAAAACTGAAGAGAAACAGTAGCACGGCATGTTGACAAGAAATCCTATTCGGTCGAACGAATGACGGTCATCATCAAGTATGTGCAACAGTGGACCTCATTCGGACATAATTTGAACACATGGAATGACCTAGCCAACATACAGACGCCCTGTTCTGCCTACTTGTCCCAGTCTGTAGTCATACCTCAGTTAATACATTTCACCTATATCCCCGCTCCCATACATCACCATCTGTCTTCCCAAAGGTGAACGCAGACATCATACTGACCCGCAACGGGGAAACATTTGTCCAGCCAATGTCGGAGCACATCATAACTCTGATACTGGCCTGCAACAAGGGGCTCTACAAGTGTCACGAGCAGCAGAAGCAGGCGATTTTTCAGAGGTACATTTAGGGTTGACCTATGGCTAAATAATTATTATTATGTTTGCATTTATATCGCGCTGAATTCCCTACATAATGTTTGCTCGTAGCGCTACAACACATACAAATGACTGAAACAGTTTTCGGTGCTTAACAGAATAAAGTGACTGAGGATTTAGATTAGACTTTGAAATGTTTTCTGAAAAGTAAAGTTTATTATAGCACTTTGGAAAGCTTCAACAGAGGGAGAAAATCTTATAGTCTGTTTGGATCAAGATGATACCGAAGAATCACAATATATCTCCAAATGCAAATGCAAGTAATTTTGTTTGGATGTTTTGACTTTTAAAATAATGGACTTGATGCCAAAAGTGAATTTCATTGTATCGTTTACCGTGTCAATAAATCGATTGGCTATGCTTGATGTGACGTCACAATTGCACGTGCTTCCCGCCCTTGAGATGGTTCTCCTGATTAACTCCTGATTAAGAAAGTTATGTGAAAAGTAATCAATGTTAACGTATTTAGAGCCTCGTCAACCGTTCACAGACGCAACATTCTTCAAAACAAAATGATGATAGTTTGTTCTACGTAACCTGTTTTTACCCTCTTACGTCACACGGAAAATTTTTGGAGGAAAACGTTATGGTAAACGTTATTTTTCTCAGAGTCGGTCTGATGTTTACATTACATTCTGCATTGAAATGAATGCTTGATCATGAACCCATTTGGAGTTAGATTGTGATTCATCGGTTTCATTTTGACCCAAACAGATTGTCGCTAAAGATGCAGTTGGTTCCAGGGTTTCTAAAGCTTCATAACTGAATGACCGAGTTACTGGCTCAACATACGCCAGATTCAGAACACAATCACACAAGGTGATAGTATTATAACTCCTGATTAAGAAAGTATGCAGGAGCAGTATGTGAAAAGTAATCAATGATTGTAACGTATACAGAGCAGTGGGACAATTAACCAATGTTATGTCATGTGTTCATTCCAGACGCAACATTCTTGCAAAACCCCTAGCATTGTCATCAGTTGGAATCTTAGGCCTTGGATGCATTGGTAGAGAAAGTAAGTCTTGTAGATATGCCATTATTTCTGTTTTTCCATTAATTCATACAAACGTAGTTCTTTGCTGCGATGTGAGGGAGACTCTCATACTGATCTGTTTCTCTTGTTTCAATATCAGCTGCTAGGATATGCAAGGCCTTTGGTACGAAAGTGTGGGGCATGACGCGGACTACTGTGTCAGAAGACAGCAAGTGTCCGAATGTAGACGAATATAGGTATGTTATCGGCATAGTAATATATAATATAGTGTCTGACAATGTTGATATACACGAGGGCTCTTGACACAAAAAGCAAAGCCTCAAATATGAACTGAATGCAGTCATTGAGGTCTTCATTTGTTCTGTTGGGCATTCAGTAGAATGTATCAAAACCCTGTCAAAGCTTACATTTCACATCGATTGATTATGTACCCAGATTCAGTCCCACTGTAACGTAGGGTGTGAGACCCATTCTTGTCCAGCGATCACTGTATTGGTAGAATATGATTGAAATCGGCATCAAACCTCACTGACTCACCAATATTCCTTATTCACTCATTAACTCACTCACCCATTCTCCGGTTTTACAATATTCCATGGAAAAGTTGAAATCGTTTCCACAGGACAATGAGTGACTTACATGAGATTCTATCTGAGTGTGACTATATTGTGAACATACTTCCGTCAACGGCAGAGACACGCGGCATACTGTCTGGAGAAGTGTTTTCCCACTGCAAGATGGTAAGTATATACGTGCATCAAAGTATAGACTTGATTGACTTTGAAGATCCGCACTGACAGATAATCTTTGTATAAGTATGCGCTTACCTTTCCACGAACAAGTGTCCCAGTCAGGATCTGGTGGGGAATATTACCATAAAGTAGGTATATCTTATGACTATGGAATCACATTATTGCTTTGTGTTGGATATTTTCATGAACCTATTACAAATACGGCCCCTAAGATGTGTGTTTCTACTGAACCATTATATTAATCTGTTATATTAGGTCTGGCATAACAGGAAAGGATACACATTTGTGTACAGAGACTCAGATGCAGGATGTATGCATAAAATGTTTGAAAATAGCCTGCTATTCATGCTTAATTGAGGATCTGTGTGGTACATATGTATGTTAATATGTATAGCATCATGTACGTGAATGTTATTGTTTCCAGGGGGCTACATTTATTAATGTAGGAAGGGGTGATGTAACGGATGAAGAGAGCGTGATAAAGGCTCTCAGGTAAGAGGACGTCACTCATGTAAGGCGTGACATGGATGAAAGTCGATGATGTAGATTCAGCTTGTAATGGCAACACGGTGATACTCTACACGATGGTAGTGACTTTTACATGATCCTAGTGTGATCTAAATGGCCGAGGCGAGGCGTAGCTACTGCTAGAATTCTCGAAAACTGCATGATAGGTAGATAAGGATTGGTAGCTGAGATGTTCGACACGACTTGAGAAGTGCTTTGGATTTACGATCATCGTCCGCTCACCTCGTCTCAACTGCCTTTAACAATCAGTACATCGACAATAATTCAGATTGTGGTAACTATATAGACATTTAGTTACTATTTTAGATTTGTGACCTAATACTTTAGATTTGTGACTCCATAATATTGTATTAGCAATCTGTTCTGTCATTCGTTGTATCCTTGCTCATTGCTTATTCTCTATATCACTGAATATTTTAGAGTTGTCTGAATTCAATTTTGCTGGTTTAAAGGCTCACATACCTTTTGTCACGACAATTCCTATACCGTAACAACTGAGATACGTTGTTTGCCTATAATGTGTGGCCGTGCTCGATGTGATTCGAAAGAGAACCCACCCACCGTCAGTGACCCATGCTTGCCACAGGAAACAGGTTGTCAGGCTCTTTTCAGATGACTACCTGTAAATTGCTTTGTAGGTTTTTCAATGCCAAAGTCTTTACTGAAGCAGTTACATGCCCAGGTCGTTAGTTGATATACTACACATATGACAAACACAGACAGAGCCGAAACAATGAACACAACCATGAAAAGAGCAACTGTTGTATTACAGTGATGCTAAATGATTCGAGAACACAATTCGGTATACATAATGTTTCCCTACCAATTTTTATAATGTATGTCAGCAGTACTTTGAATATCTCGCCTTACCATTACCAGAATGGTGTCAGCGCCTCTCTGCACAAAATGCCCTCATCGTATCACTCGCAAATATACCATTTCAAGTGGGAACAAATGACAAACGTATTTAATCCATTGTAAGTTGACAGCGAGTTATGGCGACACCGAATCCATTTAGAGCACGAAGAGTTATTGCCCTTGTCATGTTAGCCCATCACTCATTCACAGCGATATTTCGTTTCTGCTGATATGGACTGTGTCATGTTTAATCTTTCTCTAGAAACAAGTGGTTACAGTACGCTGCACTAGATGTCCACATCCCCGAGCCGCTGCCTGCCAGTAGCCCGCTGTGGAGCGAGCCAGGGGTCATCATCACACCCCACATGTCTGGCGGATATGTAGGGACTAAGAATTACGAGCAGCACGTAAGTGATCGAATGTATACAATACATCTCAAAGTATTAACTGAAATACGTACAGTCGCATATTACCAGTCTTGTATTTGAAACACAACATTCTGGATCAGGTACTAGTTACAAGGTCACAATGGACTGGCTGTACTTCTATTTTAATGACGATTGATACGTTGTTTCTTTGTAGAGAGCCAAGATGTTTATGAAACAATATCGACGCTTCATTAACAACGAACCACTGGAATACGTAGTTGATTTGAACAGAGGTTACTGATGACGGCCCTCAAGTATTGTTTAACCCGAGGAAATAAAACAAGACAGAGATAATAGACCACAGGGGTTCGAATCACTGTTTTGACAATTATTTTTAAAAATAACAATCTAGATTTTTGCAACCGTATATTGTTTTTATATGTTATGAGTAACTTATATTTCAAATTTGAACAATATACGGTTGCAAAAATCTAGATTTTTATTTTTAAAAATTATTGTCCAAACAGTGATTCGAACCCCTGTGTAATAGACACATAGAAAGATGTTCCAACTATTGCGAAGGCTACACATCTGGAACTTGTCCTCGGTTTCCGATTGAGAGAAGCCGCCACAGCTACTTTGAAAATGGAACATCAACCTTTCGTTTTAAACAGTCAACTGTTGGCTCCGTCTGAACCCGTCGTATACTCAGTGTACATAAATGATATATCCTCGTCAATCCGTGGGCCTCATTCTAATATATCATATTTCAAAACACACTGTGGCGCATCTTTGTTACGATCTGTGGTAATGTACACCTGTGATCCCTTAAAGTGAATTTTCTATTCTACTGGGTTTCCATGTCCATTGTGTAGACAATGTCAGGTCAATAACAAAGCCATCCGCCGGTGATGGAAAGTACCCGTCATATGACTGGCGCAATGCACCACACGGAGTTAACATGGATGTATGTAAGATGATACGGAATAGACTCTGGCACATATTTGTACACGTATAGATATGTCACAGTATTATTTATGTGTTGTCATACAGATTGTCATAATTGGTTTTAAGGAATATGTCTTTAAGAATTATACTGAAATTCGCACTTTAAATATACAACTGTTATCTACAACACAACCAATAATTTGCTAACTTTCAATATTTACAATCAGAGAATAGTGCCAGTGATTAAACAATTGCGTTGCTGTCCACGTGCGTGTACTGTTTTCAAAAACACCTGGTATTGTCACTCTTGGAAAGTGATTCATAAACACATTCTCATGATACAATCGTACCTGTACAGCCCTGTGTTTAGCTCCTTCATAAATATGGACATAGTGAAATAAGCAACCTATTGATGCGAAACTTGCATTGAAGTTATGTAAAGTCACGACATATACACCATAGACCGTTAGCTTCGGACAGCGTGCGTCGGAGCGAGATGGACGGGCGAGGGCGAGATGAATACTTTGGTTAATATATCTGGGCACAAACGACGTGGTGAGTGAGTGAGTATGGTTTTACGCAGCATTTGAGCAATATTCCAGCAATATCAGGGCGGTGGACACCAGAAATGGGCTTCAAACATTATACCAATGTGGGCAATCGATCCCGGGTCTTCAGCATGACGAGCGAACGCTTTAACCACTAGGCTACCCCATCACCCCACGAACTGATGAGGCGGACGGAGTACGTCCAAGAACTTTTCAGCAGGAGTTTACAAATGACAATGTTTTGTTTATGCTCAGCTGTGGATTCATTTGTAACGATCAGATATATCTTGAGCCCGACTAGGATGAATAGACGAGCGAACTAGGTCAATTGTGAATGAGACAATGAGCGACTTGGAATTAACTTTGAAAATTATTTTGAGTTATTCAACAGTCACGTTTTAGTGCGCATGGGATCGGAAGTAGCGCAGGCCGTTACAAGCCACTGATAGTAATGGTTGTGAAGGCTGGATATAATAACGCACTTTAATATAGTCACTGTCCTCATCCCATCGCTGTCTTGGGTACTGTGACTGGTACACTCTGTTTAGTCTCATACTTTCAATGCTAAACACTAACGATTCCCTAGCTATCTTCCCTTGGTAGCAACCATGCTGCAGTTACAGTTCACACGCAAACATTAGAAATACTGAATGATCAGAAATCCAATGTCAACAGATGATTAGATCTATAAAGATCAAACATCTAATGGAACTTCAACCATTCAAACCTAAAACTGCCCTTGAAAAACACAATCTTGACGATGTCCCTCCATCCCCTGGCTGGCGGTGATGTCCGTCCCCTATATGAAACACGTCAGTAGTAGAAAGACGTGGCTACATCTCTGATGATGCCCGTCCCCTATATGAAACACGTCAGTAGTAGAAAGACGTGGCTACATCTCTGATGATGTCCGTCCCCTATATGAAACACGTCAGTAGTAGAAAGACGTGGCTATATCTCTGATGATGCCGGTCACCCTCGCCTCTCTGATCTGTACGTCTTGTAGCAGTAGTAGATGAGACCGCACATGTACACACACAACAATGTTACAGCGACAACACCATCTACAATCTCCATACCTTTCCCGAACGCAGACAGTCCCCGAATTTGTCGCTATACCCCACGTTGTCCACAACACCACTACACTTGGACGCCGTGTACTTCAAGTCGTGAATGGTGTTCAGAAGCGATATCATCGGTAACATCACCAGAAGAGGATACTGGAATTTATACTTTTTCTTTGGTCCAGTAGACATTTCACAAAACAATTCCAGTATTTCTTTAAAATGACTTTGGCTCATATCAAAGGACTTTATTTCTCCCAGTGCCTCTGTAATGGCGCTGTTGTTGTAACGGTTTCGTCCCATAGTAACGACGTAGTTGACGGCGCTACTTGCCAGCGAGATGACCGAGCCAGACAGAGTTATGTTCAGTGACTGGGTGTAGCTGACGAATGTCCACACGAACCCAGTCAATATCAGACCAGATCCGATAATTCCAACTATTAGGCAACCCACCTTGACCAAGTCCAAACACCGATGCTTCTTATCCAACTCTCTGGCGATGGACCGGAGCCTGTGGACATACTCCACGTTGCCGGTACGCTCCCTGTCTCCGACAGCTCGCATGTCAAGGTCAAGCATATTGTTGATGAAGCTAAATAGAATACGAATAATTCATACATAGTGTGCAATGTGTCAAGTGTTTTATGTATGATCTGAAATAGGTATAACGTTGATTTAACTTTCCAAACTTTGTAGGGAACGGGAATCAAGCCCCATACTATACAGCACACCAGCAGATAACACCCCAAACTTCGACAAGCACATTGCTGACAAACATTAATAATGGGCATTACCACATTTAACACATGTTATACCATGTCAAACACATACAATCCAAATATGCACAACATCTGTTACAAGGATGACAATAACTTATAATAACATTACAGACAAGCGTACAATGAAGGCCTGAAGTATTATTATGTATATGATCATAATCTAAAGTGTTACGCGCAATCATCAGTAGTAGCACATTAATATTACTGCCATTTAAATAAAATCGTACCTGTTATTGCTGATGTTAACACGAACGGTACGCTCAGAGCTGTTCATTAGTGAAGTAGGTGTGTTGTACTGTATCATTACATGACATTGACATATTATCTTAATACGCTTGACTTTCACCGTGCAGAATGACATCCTACTAGGGTCTTATTTCACAATACCAGACGCCGTAGCAATGTCCAGAATGTCAGCTGTATCAAATATTTTCATACATGCATAATGTGTCTTTAATTTCTCGGTTTACAACGTATACTTTGCCTTCGCAGGTGGACAAGTTTCAAGTAATATTCACCTCCGGAAACCTGTTCTTTGTTTGGTCTAACCTCACTGTGCCTGCATCCCATATGAATGAATGAATGAATGAATGAAAAAAAATGAATGAATGAATGAATGACTTGATTATTGCCGATCTGTGTATTTCTGTAGAGCTTCGGTTTAGCTGTCTCTTGCTATTTGCTTGGACGCTTTTGTTCCTCTAGATTGGTTATAGATTAATTAACAACAGTTACTGTGCTCCCTTGTTATGTTATCACTGTTGTTGTTTCACATTTACATATCTATCTATCTATCTGCTTCCTAGTATTTCATTCACCCGATGAAGGAGTAAGAATATATTCCTAAACGTCATGTTCCTCAAGTAAAGAAGTTGACATCCATAAATTCTCGCCTCCAGGTTGATTGTCTAATGTGCTTCAATAAATTGAGTTGACCACATCCAGATGAATTTGTATTTCTAGTTTTTACCCCACAAATTTACTAGGTAGTTGTCACCGTGACACCTGCACGTGTGTGGATACTAGCTAAACTCCTTACATGCTCCAGTTTTTCACGACCACAGCTGATTGTCAGTGCTCCATCCATATCATCTGTGATCACAGTTAAACCTATTTCGGCAGATACTTACTACTGTTTATTCCCTGAAGCTTTATGTCAATAATGCAAGCCCGTTGAAATGCTATGCGACGTTTAACACTCAACTGAAATAATGTACACTGACTCCGACCTCAGTAGGCCTTGTTTCAACTTCTTCAATCCGCGCAACAACAAGAAGTATCCTTTTAACCATGCTATCGCGGGTAACAGTATTTGTGATACATAATATTATGTTAGCTGACATTGAAACCCATACATTCAGTCAACATACCAGCCGAGGAAGAGATTCACAATAATCCCGTACACTAGTGAGGCAAAACATGAGGGACTTATTTGATGGAGAGAACACACACACACACACACACACGCACGCACGCACGCACGCACGCACGCACACGCACACGCACACACACACACACCGCTGACGACAGTCCATTGAGAGGGAGTCTGAAAACGGGAAGTCGACGACAACATGAGCATCTTCAAATGACCTTTATCAAACATATTCCCTGGATGGCTGAATCACCCAGCTCTACTCAAGATAATAACTTGATAATCTTTTGACAAACATATTGTGTCATACTATATTGCAACCACTGATGAATTCCATGTAAATGTTGGTTTGTGATAGTTATCAATCTCAGATGAACATATCTTCTGGACCGTCATCATGGAATGATCACGAAGAACAGATAGTCTGAGTATCGTGTAGGTTATTCCACGTGGTACTGTTCGGTATTTTACGAGAAGAAAAAAGAGGCACATCGCTGATAGCCTCCTACAGTTCAGATAGTGTGATCAATTTGTTGATCAATTTTGGGTGATGATGATTTATATTAGCATGTACAATGTGAATGACCCTCTCCCCCTCCCCCTCGAAATTTATGTACAAAGTGACGCCCCCCACTGTATGACAAAATCAGCTACCTCCCCTTTTCATAACATTTTAGCTTGATTTACAAAATAAGATTTATGCATAAAATTGATTACCCCACCCCCCATCCCCTCCAGTACATGTGTACAAAATTAATGCCCCCCTCCTCTAAACAAAAAATGGGTGACCCCCGCCATAAATTATGAACGGTCCCTAAAGCAGGGCGTGTCAAACTGATGTTTGGTGAAACTGGGTATGCTGCTGTCAAATCCAGGAACCGTGATTCCAGCCAACAATCATATTTCCTGACGACACGAAGCGGCACAAGTCCACACTGCAAATTGCTTGTCTCGGAATGCTGGACCAACCAGTGCCGTCGTCTCAACACTGTGACATTAATATTATCAACTGCCTTGTCAACAACTAACATGCATGTATGTTTATGGCAAGTGTGGGCTTTACAAGCTTCAAGTAGGTCAGTATCATATTTCAACAATATTACATTCGTCAGGTTTTATCAGTTCCAGTTATCTGATGGTCGCGTATCTAACTGATACTCTTATATTTCCCCGACTGTCAGTAGACACACGTTCTGATCGTGCAATCTTCACACCATATATCAGGCGACCTACACAGTATAACAGGCGCTACCACGGACGCCCCCAAGTTCAGGTGTAGGTCATCACGAGGGTCAAGGAGACGCAAGTCAAAGGTTGGTGATCACTATGTAAGTCATTGTTCTACACATGTAAATGTTCACCAGGTGTGTACCGGTCATTGCAGTGGTTCGATCCGTCTTGCGAAGTATTAAAGGTAAACATAGGTATGTGAGAGCTTTTTCAAGGACGGTATTCAGATGGCAGGTGTTGAGTTCTCTTTAAATCAGTTAATTTGTATCAGTACCTGTCTTGTAGAGATGAAAAGTTGGATAACGTTCTTGTATCTTTTCATACCAAACATATCGACAAGAGTCGTTTCAAGTAGTAAACCTGGTTAATATGATATTACAAGACACAACGGTGACAATTCGATTTTCATCTAGTACGACAAATACAAAAAACTGACGACCAAGTTGAAATGTTCTAAAACCATTATAATGTTGAAACATATTTCATCTCAAGAAAATATCACAACTCAACAAGTATGTTTGCAGCTTTAGGATTTGAAGAAAGCGTACTGTATGTTGTAAAGATAGCTATCATGATATCTAATATACTACCCATCAAAAGTTTAGACTCGCTATTGTAAATGTAGCCACTTATTGCAGTCAACTGTTCTAATCTAGCTTGCTCAAAATATTCCATACTGTTTAAAGGTACTGTTTACACATGAACTGATGTATTCTAAAACAAATTCGTAACGTTGAAAAGATTATTGTCATGAGTTCAATAAATGATGAAACTCGAATTCTTAACAAAACTTTACACCAAAACGCAGCTGTTCACATGCATGATATTTGCACATGCTTTTCAGCAATTTGATTAATGCATGATCCTCATTCATCTGCTTAATGGGGCGGTGGGGTAGCCTAATGATAAAAGCGTTGGCACGTCACGCCGAAGACCCGGGTTCGAATCCCCACATGGGTACAATGTGTGAAGCCCATTTCTGGTGTCCCCCCGCCGTGATGTTGCTGGAATATTGCTAAAAGCGGCGTAAAACCAAAACTCAGTCAGTCAGTCAGTCATCTGCCTAAAGTTTGCAGTTGGTTCACTCAAGTTAGTGGAGAAATTTATCTTCGATGTAACCACATACATATACATATAACATATAGTGAGTGCTTTAAGTGAGTCTTAACTTTTGATGGGTAGTATATGTTCTGTGTGTTATGCTTCTTGGTGTACAAAAAGTATATTGCATAATGTTTGATCTAGCGTTATCGAAATATCCTCTGAGTGCCAGCTGAAGAGAGACAGAAAAGGAAACTGGTGTGATACTAAACTCTTCGGTGCTGGCACAATTGGTCATACTTCAGCATTACATGGTCATGCAACAGTGAATAGAAACCCTCAGAAAATACTGTGCTTTTGATGTCTGTCCGTCTTGATTGCTCTTTAATGGTCGAAGTACAGCTGAAGTCGTTAAATACAGTTATCTCCCTTGCGTGTGGTTCGTGTTTGGCAACTACCTCGTAACAATACTTTACATTAAAGCAAGCTAGCGCTGTTGAAGTTTCATCTTATCAGCATGTTAATTCGACGTACTTCCAAAATATGTGCGCTTCATAAAACTGTGGTTCAGTGAAAATGAGCATATTCTGAAAATGAGTGAGGCATCTTTCAACACATGCATCACATGCTGAGGTTTTCTGCTGGGCGTTGAGATCGTGATTCACATGTGGCACGTGCATGTTTTTTACCACAATGCGCACTTTGATTGAGTATTTGTTGAATCCTGATACTCACTAACGTGGTAATAGTCCCTAACAGCTAGATTATAAGAAGCATCCGGTCACGCAAGGTCAGTTGAAACAAAATCTATCTTTTTTGACACATCGCCGCTGCCTCGCATGTTTCTACACAAAATGATGATGAAACCTACTAGGGCTCGTAAGTAGCTCACGGCACTTCGCGAGACCTTAGTACTTCCGGTGACAAACAACGTTTCATACCTTTTCGAATGGTCTCATGGTTGTCAGTTGACAGTTAGGAGCCGGTAATCGTTGCAGGAATAACAACGATCTAACCATCCCAAAATTAGCAAACTATTAAGACAGTCAACAGCTGTGACAGTCACACATGGGTGCTCACTTGGTCCGGTCTAGTACAGTCATGTTTGGCGGTCGCGCAATTTGGAACCAGAACTGGTTCTTGAATACGCTTGTAACCGGAAATCTAGTACCGGAAATAAGCTGTGCCCCGTCTCGCATATCGCAAGTTGGCGCGAGTAAAAGGAGCCGGGAACCAGCTTAGTACCGGAAGTAGCGCCTCGCGAGACTTTCAGCCCTATATTTTCAATGCAACTCCTCTGCTTGGGCGTGACACTCTGTCACCTATCGCCGTGTACGGGTTTAGCAATGGACTGCCAGCTATCTCACTTCATTAATTTTTTTAAAAAAACCCATTAGTATGCAAATGCACCTGTTCCACGTTGTCAATAGGCTGTTGGTGAAGGCGAGGAGAATGAACAATGATTCAAATATTAAAATAATGAACGTTGAATGCATCTGTACCATGATATATCTTGCTGTAGCTACTGTCCAGACGACACGTGGACCTTTATATCTGCTACAGGTCCAGACGACATCTGTACCATTATAAGTGCTACAGTTCCAGACGACATGTCTTCGCCAAAGGTAGCCATCTTTTATAACAACGCAGAAATAATCGACGTCATTAAACAAGAACTGCCTGATGCTGACATTCAGATGTTCTCAAGTAAGAGATACAAAGCTCTATTTCATCGTTTTAAGTCTCCTATGTAAAGACATACTAATTTAAAAGGCATTGTACTGTTATAGTGAGTACAGCTCATTTCCTGCTTAGTTTGTTTGTTGTTCAACGCCACACTGAGCAGTATTCCAGCTATATGGCGGCGATTTGTAAACAATCGAGTCTGGACCAGACAATCAACAGCATGCGCATCGATCTACGCAATTGGAAAAAATGGCATGCGTCAACCATGTCAGCGAGCCTGACCACCCGATCCCGTTAGTCGTCTCTTATGACAAGCATGGGGTGCTCAAGAGCAGTTCTAACCCGGATCTTCACGGGGGCGCTTTTCGGGTGGAGCCCACTGATCAGTACTGTGTGTGCTCCGTTTCGTAGGTATTTATGAGGCCGGATAGTATAGGACTGTTGCAATAATATTTGGATTCAACGATTTATTTCCAAGAACTAACTTAAATCTGACATTGAAAAGTATGTGTAAATATTCTTGATTGCAATCATTTGGTTTGTATCATAACCACACCTCAAATGATGATAATGTGGTGTTTGCTCTTCTGTAACCAGGACTGTCTGTGTGTGTGTCTGGTTGTAGATCCTCCCACGGAAGAGGAGGTGGAGTCGTTCTCTCAGGTCCAGATCATTTTTGGGTCCCCTAGAAACCTGACGGATGTCATTCCAAGATGCCCCAACTTAAAATGGATCCAGTCTGGAGCAGCAGGTATTCGATATAATGCCTCGAAACTTACCCTGTGTATTTTGTAGTCATAATGCTCCGTACGTACCATTGCTAGAATATCTCCAACACAGCTTCAAACTTTGGAAGACATATTCGGAAATACTTCTTCATATTAACGATAGCGTGTCACTTAGGAGCCAAAGTATCCACAATCGGAGAAACAACAATCCACACAACCTGGGGTAACTAAACCCTTTCTCTTTCTGTCTCACTCTCTATCTCTAAATAGCCTGGCTTTGTAGCATGACACTACTTTATGAGGTTTTCCCTTTACAGGCGTGGACAAGATACTGAAGAGTTTATCAGATGACAAGGTAATGCTTAATGGTCACGTCTGACCCACATTTGTATGTATGTACGATGTGTGTTTGTATGTATCATGTACGATGTGTGTGTTTGTATGTATGTCCGATGTGTGTTTGTTTGTATGTACGATGTGTTTGTTTGTATGTATGTACGATGTGTGTGTTTGTATGTATGTACGATGTGTGTGTTTGTATGTATGTACGATGTGTGTGTTTGTATGCATGTACGATGTGTGTGTTTGTATGTATGTACGATGTGTGTGTTTGTATGTATGTACGATGTGTGTGTTTGTTTGTATGTACGATGTGTGTGTTTGTATGTATGTACGATGTGTGTGTTTGTTTGTGTGTGAGTGTGTGTGTGTTCACACAGCAAACTCACAATATATGTTGGAACTTAATGAGTACACAAATGCAAATAAACAGAGTTATTGGTAAATTGAATTGAACACACATGCATGTGCTACGTTTCGTGCGCTTGCATCTCGATAAAATGGCATTGGCCTGCAATTCAAACAGATGTGTCCTCAAAAGTCGATGTCCACGGTGTGTACCAAATCCAATCTTGGCAACCCAATCTACAAGCCTTGGCAATCCTTGCCCTTGTGATCGACTGTATGCATCGAAGATGGTCATACCCGTTATTTTGACATTGGTGCCTGCACACTGACCAATATGTACACCTGTATACCAGTAGTTAGTATCATCCACATTAAACATGGTGTTCTGCCGTCTCCTTATGATCTGAATATGCATGTGTTAGAGCTTCCATTGTTAAAATACTTACCAGCTTAGAGAACATTATAACACTGTGCGGTTTCTTTTGTATAGCAAACGATTAGCTTTATCCATTAAGTGGTAACATAGATCAACATTTCCTTGCATGGTCATGAATATGTATTTTCCATGTTACCTGCATCAGTAGTTAATAATCATCTACCGTGTATGTTATGCTTATATTTCTGTTCAATACACCTACCAGGGATGCGTGTACTGCTGACCTACAGCCATCTATATCTACAGTTTATATCAGTATTCTCAGTATCGAGAATGATATGAATATTCATTCACATCTCGACACTTTCATGTTTTATCATATCGCCACCATTCTCACATAACACAGAATCGTAGAGAACATAGATCAAGGTAAGTTCATATTCAACTTCACTGCTCCTGAGAAATCTTTTCGTTTTTTATCTGCCTCGTAGGGCATCCCTGTAAAACGTATGAACGTAAGTTTTCTTGGCATGTTTATCCGTACAGTGTTTGAATCATTTAGGTAAACGCAAAGATTATTGTCACCCGCAACGGAGAGACATTTGCCAAACCACTGGCCGAGCACATCATGTGCCAGATACTGACCACAAACAAAGGTCACTACAAATGGTATGACCAGCAGAAGAGGGCAGTGTATGAGAGGTATGTCCTTAAACAACAGCTGGCAATAGTTACCAGTATCTTGCCACAGTCCCGTCTTTCGTTTGTTATCCTGAATGACGCCTTGGTTTAGTTTTGTATTTTTATAGGGCATTCAAAATGTGCATTCAATATAATCGCGATCAGCCATGTATAAAAGTACGAAGCTGATGTGACAAACCTGATGTTTATGTTATATCTATATAATGTACCAGAGTGAGTGAGTCGCCTTTGGCAATTTTCCAGCAATATTACGGCAAGGGACAGGGACATGGGCTTCGCACAATATACCAATGTGGGGAATTAAACCCGGGCCTTCGGCTTGACGAGCGGACACGTTAACTACTAGACAACCCAACCACCTTGTTATAATATATAAGAAGATGTATGTCATCATCGATGTAGACTGGGAGAAGTTATAAAATAATTGAAACGGAAAGTCGAATTGAAATTTAACCTTTTGATGCATGAACGTTTACTGCACATGAACACAGTGACGCATGGTGTATTTGGTTCCACACGCTGACCAAACTAATGGTCGTTTCACATTTCCTTTTTCAGAGAGAACATTCATTCCAAACCACTGTCACAGACATCAGTTGGGATACTAGGACTGGGCTGTATTGGACGTGAAGGTAGGTATATCTATATCTTGTTGGTCCAAATATGTTCGTCCTCGACGTGTATGCCAGTATCAAACATTGTTTCATTCTGTCTGTTTTGTCAGCCGCCCGAACGTGCAAGTTCTTTGGGATGAAGGTATGGGGCATGACCCGGACTGAAGTACCGGAAGATAAGAAGTCCTCATATGTTGACGAATACAGGTATGTATCTAGGTATCACTGTTTGTGGTGTTGGTTGACTGCTGTTTTTTCATGTTCCGCATACTACATACACTAAACAAAACAGATTCACTTTTTTATTGTATCCATATATTCTTGCTATATATTAACTTCATGACACTTTGTTTTCTTTCACAGGACAGAGAATTCGTTACATGAAATCCTATCTGAATGTGATTATATCGTCAACATACTACCATCAACTGAACAGACTCGAGGCTTGTTGTCGGGAGATGCCTTCTCTTACTGCAAAAATAAGGTACAGATGCAAAAATGTACATCCTAAAAATAATTGTTTGTGATCTGTTTTTGCGTTCAACTGTTTGTTTTGAGGCTATGTATTTTTGTCATCCATTTTGTCGTTTTGAATTCATTAACTGATGTGACATGTATCAAATTAAGTGGTTCACGCTGTATGGAGTACCGTCAATGGTGGTAAATAATAAGCTCAATCAGAACCTTGGTTATAATTGTGAGAGTTGACCATGCGAACGGAGTGGCATGTAGGCTGTTGAGCGTGGTCTTGGTTCACCATGAGTGAGTGAGTGTGTGAGTTGCGTTTGACATCGCCCTCAGCAATATTCCAGCTATGTGGCGGCGGTCTGTTAATAATCGAGTCTGGACCAGACAATCCAGGGATCAACAGCTGAGAATCGATCTGCGCAATTTGGAATCGATGACATGTGTCAACAAAGTCAGCGAGCCTGAACACACGATCCCGTTAGTCGCCTTTTACGACAAGCATGGGCTGCTGAAGATCAATATTCTAATCCGGACCTTCACGGGTCGCAACTTACAAATCACATCACGTGGGCGTGTCATGGGTAGGCCAATTCGTTGCATCAGTTGCACGAGCCCAGGACTATTGTTCAGACTTTACAGGCCTGAAGACTCATGTGCAACAGACTGTCCCAATCCTTGCAGATCGCCCAAGGCCAGAATGGCGTACAAATGGGGGTTACGTCATTTCCATAACCGATGTGATTGTATGCTTTACTAACAGACAACTGATCAGATTGAGAGTGTCAGCACAGACCATCAAGAACGACTGTGCACCGTTGGGTTGAGAGCTAGACGACGATGCATAGGAACTATACAATTTCAGCGACCGAAACATTTACGATGGGTCCGCAGACATGCCAGATTCAACCAGTGGCAGTGACAGGATTGTCTTCATTGAGGAGTCACGCTCCACATGGTACTTTCCCAATGGCAGGATATAGGAGGGGGCTTGTGTTCGTGAGGTAGACCGATTCGGCTTGGAAAGCGTGCCGGTTTAGGGAGAAATGAGTGGTAACGGTCGATCTAAACAGAAAGCTTACTGCCATATCGGGTCCAAGTTTTGGTCCCAGTACTTCCGCCATTCATGCAACTTCATTGTCCCGGACTGGCATTTCAACATGACAACGCTACGCTTCATACCGCAGGTCTGTTAGTTTGGTTAAGTACCGAATTGTTAACTAGTGTGCATTTGTGGGATCAATATACAGACTCATGTATTCATGGCAGCCTGCTCAACTGATGCTAGACCCTTTGCTCTTGTAGAAGACTACCTTCATCAATGTTGGACGGGGTGATGTGACGGATGAAGAGAGCATACTGAAAGCTCTCAGGTGAGAACCCTACTGATTCATGTGGATACACAGAAAACGTCAAAGAGTTCTAACCTACTCATAATGTGAACTTATCCTAGCAGTGATATCTAGCTGTGTACTCTTGTACACATGTCTTCTACACCCACAAATTAAACTTGTAAACCACGTGGAAGCGCAGACACGCATGAATAAGACGCCGTTCTACGTATTTAACGTAATGATCCAATCAACCATCAACGATCTTTCCGTTGTCTGAATTAACCTTGTTAGACAGTTGTTATTGTTATTTTGGCGACTCCACCCAATCCTAGGAACAAGTGGTTACAGTACGCTGCACTAGATGTCCACAACCCCGAGCCGCTGCCTGCCAGTAGCCCCTTGTGGAGCGAGCCAGGGGTCATCATCACACCCCACATCTCGGGTGGCATCATATTGTACCCTGGATACCTCCGTGACGTAAGATGATACCCCTTTTTTCAGTGTATTCATCATATTTGATAGAGTAAATTTCTGTATACGCACAGTAAAACAAACAATGTTGGACAACATTAAGCCCCTTATTATTTATGCATTTATACGGTGTGATGACGGTGGCCTTGTGTAAAAGACTATTAAAACCCTAAGAATACACCTTTAGTTTGTGAGGACATACAATAGGAAAGGATTTCTCCGAGATACAGCCCTAGGAAATATGAGAGGTCTTTTCGATCTCGTTCACATTTATGGTCTCTGATGGATAAAATCGAAGAGCGAGCTGCACGACAGCTTTCAAAAACAAGCATTAAACGTATATCATTTTTGTTCATTATTTACAAAACCATAATCTGACCACGCTTGTACAAACACACATCTGAACCATCTGTGTTCAACCATCTACACTCCATCATCTAAACCAACAATCTCAGTGTTACAGTGTCATGCCATTTGCCATGTGCTATATACAAGATCTAATTTTAAAAAACATTTTGGAAAGTCTGGGAATGATATGTGTCCTTTGTGTCCACTCGTGACATGTAGTTATTCTGTCAGCTGACTGAGGCGTTGTTTTGTTGCAGAGAGCCGAGCTGTTCGTGAAACAATATCGCCGCTATATTAACAACGAACCGTTGGAATACGTTGTTGATTTTGAAAGAGGTTATTGACGTCAGAGTTTAGGACGACACTTGCAGGACAGGGGGAAACCACGGAGTCGTGTCATCCAGTGATTGTACTCCTCCATCATTGCTGTGTACAAAGTACCAGGCTGTATGATAACAACTTAGATTTGTATGTAGTGAAATACGGAGTGCTTCACGACTAAGACGGAGCATGCTATCGTGGACTTCTGCTATGTAACCCAATGCCACACCAAACCGGTGTCTACCATGCCAGATGGACTTTCACAATGATCTATATGTACTGTAGTGCCTATACGTCCCCCAAACACCAACAGTACACAGCTGCAGATATTCTAGACCCATGTGTGTCGTATTCAGTCACACACATTTTCCTCATGGTGTGGACAACTTTACTTGATGTATCACACACTCAGAACAGTAGCCTTGTATATAGTGCGGGCCTGTTGAGTGGCGTCTATTTCTGGTCTCTTCACTGCAGTTTGTAGGTATCTCAATTTATAACAATGCAGGGAATACTCCTGATGTAGCTACATCATTGTGTCGAGCTGACCCTCACACACCCTCTGTCTTACAATACAACGACAAGTTATAGGTCAGAAGGTTTTCTATATCGGAACTAGTTACCATATATATAGAGAATATACACGAGGTCTCATTACATACGAATTATACGAAACGAGTGTCCTTCCTGTGGTATCTGACCGAGCGAAAGCGAGGTCAGATAACATAGGAAGGTCACGAGTTTCGTATAATTCGTATGTAATGAGACCGAGTGTGGTATTTTATTTATTACCCACGTCTTACATGCATTAAATTGACAAAATGGCGTATTTTGTTATATTTTTTGGTTTCAAACCGAAACCGGTTTCATAAAGAGGTTGCGGAAGAGTTTTGTACTGTAGTACAATATTTGCATGACGTCACACTGTAATGATGTCACTGCCTTGGTAACCGACGTCACGATGCATGTCAGTTGTCATCGCCTCGTACAGCCTCCTACAGTAAACTACTCCGTAGCACCTCGTTTCTTGGTTTCCAGTTGCTTCATTCGGCTAACATCACTGGTGGAAACATTGCGTTTATGTTTTTCGACGGATATAATGTCTCAGTTCGACTCACAATTAAACAGCGACACGGCATCGTTCGCAATGTTTACATTCCCACAATGCATATAAGTTGTAGAATGGATGAATTCACGTGTTTGTTAAGAATGAAAAATAGTTACGTCAGAATGTGACCTAATTGAGAGGTCATCGGTTATCAAATCAAATCGTTAGAATCTCAGGTCAAGTCGTTACGACACAGGTCAACGCGATAAGACACTCGTGTGACGTACGAGATTAGTATGCAACTACCCATACGTTGACCTCGTGGGTAATAATACCGCATATGAATCGTTTCTGTTGACTGTTAGCATTATCATTGAAGAAATAAAAGTCATTGAAAGTGAAATGCAGTATTGGAGATGACTCTCTCACAGAAGCACGCGCCAGAAACCTCCCTGTGTTCACAAGAAAATAATGCTACCACCAAATGCATAAATTCGGCTAGAGTGAATACTGATTTAACCTTCCAACAATTAAACATATTTCTTTAAGCATTCCTTTTATATAAAACCAGGTGTAACACACCTAAACTTCACCAGTTCATTCTAAGCTACTTTGACAGGAGGAAGACAGTACGCGAAGAACATTCTTACTCCTTCAAGTGATTTTCCACATCTATTCACAACATTTATTAATATTCTGTAGTTGCTACACAGTTTCTTGATACGTCTCCTACATCGTAGTGTAGACGATGTCATTACGTATGACATCAAAACGTATGTACTCAAATAGAATAATCTTTTAGAAGCAGCACCTCATTAAGCGACTCACTGCAACCAGCGTCCTCCTGTTGTCCGTACCGGTGAACATGTACTCTTCATGTAACAAGTGCATCGAAACAACTGGCCCCCATTACTTAGGGTAAACCGTTAAGTCGCTCTTACGTCAGTAGTCATGAGGTGCTTAGAGCGTATTGTTCTCTGTATACTCTCCAATCAAGTCAGAGACAACCTCGACCCTTTACAGTTTGCGTACCGAGCCAGGCGAGGAGTTGAAGACGTTACAATCACCCTGTAACACAACATCTATCAGCATCTCGAAAATACAGGAGCTTATGCACGCATTTTATTCGTAGACATTTCCTCGGCCTTCAATAGCATCCAACCTCATATACTCACCAAGAAGCTAACTGATGTGGTGCAGAGATAACTTCCTTGAACTAAATGTGAAGAAGACCAAAGAACTCATTATTGACTTTCGCAGGAAGAAATGGACTATTACATCCGTCATCATCAACAATCAAACAGTTGAGGTTGTAGAGGGGTTACAGGTACATAGGGACAATCATTGATAACAAACTGACTTTCACTCAAAATACCAATGCAGTCTACAACAAATGTCAGTCTCGCCTCCACTTCCTGAGAAAGCTGCGCTCATTCCACAGTGTTTCCACTTTTATGTCTTTGTTTTACAAATCATGTATCCAATCAATTTTAACATGTTCTATGCAGTGTTGGTATGGACCTCTGTCGCTTCAAAATAAGAACAAATTAAAGAGGATTGTTAAAGTTGCAGGAAACATTGCAAGTAATTTTGATAGTTTAGACACCCTGTACATATCATCTGTTTTAAATCTTTCTGTCAGAATTTTACAAGACCCAATCCATGTTTTAAACCCTTGTTATACACTTTTACCATCTGGCCGTATGTATCGTTTACCAAATGTAAGTCAAAGAGCAGTAAACACTCTTTTATACCAGTTAGCATATCCTTCTTAAACAAGTCTTAAACATTATTCTCTTAGTATATTTATTGTTACATGTTTCTCTCATAAATACTGTTGTTTACTATGCATTCAATGTCATTGTTGCTGCTCATGTCTTAAATGTTGTTTTGTTATGTTCTTAACTCTGATGTACACAAAATTCCCTTTCGGGAAATAAAGCATTATCTTATCTTATCTTATCTTATCTTATCTTATCTTATCTTATCTTATCTTATCTTATCTTATCTTATCTTATCTTATCTTATCTTATCTTATCTTATCTTATCTTATCTTATCTTATCAAAAGGTGATACAATCACGTAAGAAGTAAACAAAATTATTACAATGTTCTGGCAAAAATATTTGTTGATGACCAATTCTTTTTCAATATTAAATGATCTACTTTATGAACTAAATGCTTCTGGCTTCATATACAATTTTATATACAAAGAAAATAGCCAATAAATAATCAGCTCCAACATGCCTACGACCCATGAGTTGACTGCTAGAGGTTTGCACACTGTCTTTTTATACTCATCCTTTCACACTTTGAAATTAATAACGCTTCTGTCAGCGATAACCAGGTTTTAACATCATATAAATATCCTATAATAATAAGAAGAATACGAAGAAGAAGAAGAACAATGACAAGAACATTAATTACTCAATAAGCAGGTAACCCATGAGCTTGTCGCTGCAGTCATGTACTCCCCGACTTATGTACCTATACTTTCACACTCTGAAAACTTGTAACTTGTTGTTGCCAAGGTATAACCAGCTCCAAGTGCCTTATCCATGGAGTTTGCTACTGGAGTAGTGTACTCCCTGATTTTGTATACCTATATTATCACACTTTGAAAATTTGAACTATTTGTTGCTGATGTATAACCAGCTCTTACATGCCTGTAACCCAGAAAGTCTGTTGCTGGAGGGATGTACCCATATTTTCATACTTCGAAAGTAGTTAACCTGTGTTGCTGATGTATAACTAGCCAGAACATGCCTGTAACCCATGGAATCTGTTGCTTGAGTGGTTCACTCCCTGACTTTATGTACCTATGTTTTCATACTTCGAAATTAGTAACTTTGTTGCTGATATATAACTAGTTAGAACATGCCTGTAACCCATCGAGTCTGTTGTTTGAGTGGTTCACTCCCTGACTTTATGTACCGATGTTGTACCGATGTTGTCATTTTATTGCTGAAATTAGTATAAAAAAAAAAAAAAGATAAAACACGACAACGACCCGCGCCTAAAAAAATAGCCAAGCAGATCACGTAGAACCAACTTGTGTGACCCCCACGTACCGACATCCCGTGACGCTCGTATACCATCCATGCGAATTTCTGCAATTGGCAATTGTTCCCGCTAACTACACCGGTAGTTGATATGCTTTGTGACTAAAAGAGCACAAGCAAAAATAGTTTTTATAGCCACAGGACTTTCTCCTCGCATCGCATCACCTGCATCTATATTTTGGATGTGACACATTACATCCCCCAAACCCAGTTCACTCACTGCCCTGAAAGGCATCGATATATTTGTGTTCAAGATTGCTCGGGCTTCATACTTTCGTAGTTCATATTTGCTGACAGCACTATGACTAAACTTAGATAGACACAGATTTTTACAGAACTGGAAAACCTGGCCCGTGATGAACAGAGCTACGCGGTCTTCCAATCTATCTGCGAGGTGAGGAAGTTACACTGTTCAGTTTTGTCACCTACATTCACCTCTTCTTGGATACATCTGATAAGTGTTACAAACTACCAACGCATGACTCGTTTTTCAAGATCGGGAATACAGTGGGTAATTTTGCAGAAAGCAATAGCAGACAATTGGTTAGGCACAACAGAACACGCTCTTTCTGCCGAGATTCCAAGAATCCGCATATGATTCTTGCGCAAAAGTTGTTAGAGCCTTCTTTAACTATGTCCACGCAAATGGTAACCGCTGCCATTACTGGAAGGTCTTGCCAACCCGGTTTCCTTGTATAACACCGAGGAATCTAACACGTACTGTGAGCATTCATTCAGCCAGTGTCAGACGCATGGCAGCTATTATGTACTACCATAGTCCTTAAATGTTTCATGCTTAACAAATACGTTTATTGACAATTGCCATGTGAAATAAAACAGGCATATATAATGACGACACAAAAGCCCACTCGTGTTTTTATCTCCGACTGCTGAACTTGATATAATTATGTTCAGAGCATAAAATTAAGAATTAAAAGAATGATATCCTGCAATCAGGGTATTAATGAAATGAATGTGTATATTCGTTATGAAATCATTAATACAACTAAGCCACTTAAAGTGACTCATTCTGATATGAATTGTCCTTTTGCTCGCAAGTACGTCACAACAACTGCATTGGATCGTCCCACCCCAAACGTTCTGGTAGTGTTTAGCGCATTATACTCTTGTTGCGCATGGAACACATCGTCGGAACAGCATTCCTCTTGAACAAGGACATGATATGATAATATAATATCCCGGAGGCCTCTGACTACAATGCAGCCCTTGTTGAAAACATTGCAGCTGTTCCCCACTGTTTTGTAAAGTAAATTTACCACAGAGGGATCTCTGATCATCTATTGAGTCCTCGTAATTTAACGTTAACAACCAAGTGTGTTTTCTGGTTCACTGGTCACTTGATTGTTTGGATTGCTTGCAGAGCAATGTCGCATAGCAGTAGTTTTCATCGGACTGTAAATATTTATTATGTTACTCAAATTGTGAAAATGTAGACATTGGTTATATGTGCTGCCTGGAGGACAGACGCACTTACCCTTTACGGGAACACCCGGTGTCATCACTGATTGCATACATTTCGAACAATAGCAGGTAAACATTCGATCCAAATCTCATTCATGTTAAACGGCGGTTTACTTACTCCTTCCAGACGTACGACTACTGTATAAATGTTTCCCGGTATTCACAAAACGTTTTTTGAGACAAACCGAAATAAATACCATGTGGCTTCTCAAAAACACAAGGATTTGCCTACATTTTTACAGTCTCAGAAATATCAATCTGACAAAATTCAGTTTAACGTTTTGCCAATGAGCATGGACGATATATAATCAGGCCTTGGTGATTTGCTAAAACCATTCAGGCTTGGCAGACCCAATCCCATGTTCAATGTGCCTTCAAGAAATAGACTGAGATATGGATAGATACATAATACGCCATTACCTGAGGTAGTGTGTACTGTACTGAATACGTAAGTTAAATACGCCCTATTCTTATGTCCTCAAGGATTCGAATGCTGACACAGTCTAAAGTGTCGGAATTAGTTCTGTCCATGAGTAGTGTCCCTAGCCAGAGTATGAAAATCTCAGGTGCCAATGATTCTGTGTTTCCAAGATTAAAGCAGTGCTCGTGCGTGTTGGTGCAGACAACCAAGCTGTTCGTGAAACAATATCGCCGCTATATTAACAACGAACCTTTGGAATACGTGGTTGGTTTTGACAAAGGTTATTGACGTCAGAGTTTAAGACGAAACAGGGCACAATGAAAGAACAAGGTGTCATCATGAATAATCACTCCCCGAGGACACTGGAAACTGACTGTCGCATCATGTGTACAAAATATCAGACTGTCGCATTTACACCCTTTAACACCTAACCAGTATGGTTACAAAACCACTGAAATGCATAAAGACTATTATGTAAATGTGAAATGGATATTGTGCGTTACTATCACACGATGTTAAATGTATATCAAAAATGATTAAACGACAACGCTATTTCTCCTGGTATTGAGACAATAATGACATTTCATTTCTAGATGAGTTACCTGCCTCTCCACTGCATTATAATTCATGTTTCTCTGCGTTCACTCCAATTCCTGCATTTTGATCAGCTGAACTGGTCACGTGTTATTGCATGTACTTCAAAACGAACGTAAAAAAGTACACCACGCCCATCACTGTGCACTATTGCAACCACTACGGACTGTAGGAGCATCCCAATTACTGGCAAAGGGAAGTTGCACATCGGATTTCGAATCAGTGAAAGGTAAAGCTAATTCACAGTCAATATGTAATTGAATTTAAAATTTACTACATGCATGTATGTCTTGTACATGTATAAATCCCATTCCCGGTACTCAATGACGTCGTTGTGGTATTACGCATGTCAGTCCTACCTATGTTAATTACTTATACGTTGCAGGTTCTTCCCTTTAATAACCATACAGATGAGGTATACATTGTGTGAGGACACGCCGTGCAGCCGGGACTATGATCCCGTGATGGTTGCTGGTTGTGGTAGCACTCTGCAGCTGTATAGTTGTCAAGGGATATTCTCCTTCTGAGCATTCTGAATGTCATGAAACGCTATTGAGACACTTCTACATAACGTCCAAATTGGTTCAATCATAATAATAGGTTTTATGAAACTGCAGTAAACATGGAAACAACTATCGGACTTTTTAAATTGTGGATGCGGACCCGTATATTTCAATAAAAGCGATAAATCATCATAGACAGTCTCTGGTCCACACAGATTCTATGTTTCGATTCCAACCATGTCATGACCATGTGTTGATGAATAACCATCATAAAGTAATTAAACCATGCATTCGCGACACAATGTGCCTCAGCAAGTGTACTGTCACCCTGAAAAGCAATACAGAAGCCTATATTCGAAACAGGTCATTTTGTGTCTATTATATCAAATCTATATAACGTACTCCACATGTCTGCCATAAACATCTTGCAAAATTACTAAAACCTAAAATATTGTAACCCATTGCAGCAAACGTTTGCTCATTTGTTCCTCCAACGTTTATGAGATGTAGCCATCAATGGCTGTAACTCGAGTACAGCATTTCAAGTTTATTAAGAAGGTTGGTATGAGACGATTTCACTGGTCTCAATGCGTGTTCAGGCTGAACATGTTGTAAGGTAGCGTTCAGTTATATAGTTCAGGGCACAGCTATTCCACCAATAAGAATGAAGCGATATCGTCATGATCAATTAACCCTAGATCGTGTCTTCTGCTTGGAATGTCGAGTATAAGCCTCAGTAGAAAGGTTAAGATCCCCCGATACGATGTCAGTAACTTGCCAAATCGAGTCTGAAGTTCTATTCCATAGAATACAGGCTACGACTTTTGAATTTTGAACCAACTGGTGAAGAGGTCGGGGTGTATTGGTGTCTAGACATTTGGCGACGACAACATGTGCAGCAATACTCAGATTCTCGACATACTCTCCCATATATCACCTCGAAGCGCGTGATCTGTAATACTCAATGAACACCTCATGGCAATACGTCCAACAAAGTTGTACTGACTCATTTTCCAACTTTCCGGATCGACGTTTGGCAATGAAATCAAGGTCAGATTGAGATGATGGAGCTGGAGGAGGAGGCTACGGGTGGCCTACTCGTCTACAACGTTGGATTTCTCTGTACAGTGCTGCCTCCTGTCGGCACGCCAGAAACCTAGGACTGTTACTTGGATTCCTCTTTCGCAAGTTTATAATTATATTTATTATAAACATGTTTTGTGTGCACCATATCAGTGCTGAGACCTGAACATGCCGTGATATAACTGTATTGCTTTAGAATCGGCGTTAAATCAACTCGACCAATCACTCATTCACTCTCTGACATGTAACACGATAACACAAGGACAAAGAATTAGGTCAGAAAGAGCGGTGAGAGCTTCACTTGAGTGTATGATTCAGCGAGATATCCTCATCATGTCATATGTCCCTCGTATATGGAACAAGGCTAGGTCTGTGCAGAGAGGATTACAGCATACGAAAACAGCAAACATTACAGAGATCGCTTCAATGCATAGAGGGTTAACACACAATGACGAACGAGGCCATTGGGAGTAGGTCAACACTGAGGGAACGCTAATCAAAGGCTGGTGATCCCAACGTTTCCCATTGATAAACAGATATACATGTTGAGTGGGCTGAAAAGAAAATAAGTTTGTAAATTACGAGAAGTCGACGAAGGTAGGCGCTTGTATATACCAGGTACAGCTGCAGGTAGTTATTGATTCGTCAGGATAGGCGACCACGGAAGTCGAGGTCACTTCATTTCACGCATGCTCATTTCACCCAAAGCTACAATGGAGAGGAGACCGCAACTCTCCCAGGGTATTCAAAATGCATAAGGCCCTCCTGTCATCTGACCAAGTTTCCTTGTCTATTGCTTTGCACAGGCTACCATGTATATCAAAACAGTATAGTACAGGATACTGTAGTGATCTATCTTTCCACTCTATAGTACAGGGTACTGTAGTGACATAACTTTCCACTGTACAGTACAGGATACTGTAGTGACATAACTTTCCACTGTACAGTACAGGATACTGTAGTGACGTATCCCCTCTCTATATCGTACAGGGTTCTCTAGTGACATACCTGTCAACTGTACAGTACAGGATACTGTAGTGACATATCGTCTCACTATATCGTACATGGTACTCTAGTGACATACCTGTCCACTGTACAGTACAAGATACTGTAGTGACGAATCCTCTCACTATATCGTACAGGGTACTAAAGTGACATACCTGTCAACTGTACAGTACAGGATACTGTAGTGACATATCCTATCACTATATCGTACAGGGTACTTTTGTGACATAACTGTCCACTATATCGTACAGGATACTGAAGTGACGTATCCTCTCATTATATCGTACAGGGTACTTTAGTGACATAACTGTCCACTATATCGTAAAGGATACTGAAGTGACGTATCCTCTCATTATATCGTACAGGGTACTCTAGTGACATACCTGTCCACTATACAGTACAGGATACTGTAGTGACGTATCCTCTCACTATATCGTACAGGGTACTCTAGTGACATAACTGTCCACTATATCGTACAGGATACTGAAGTGACGTATCCTCTCATTATATCGTACAGGGTACTCTAGTGACATACCTGTCCACTATACAGTACAGGGTACTATAGTGACATATCCTCTCATTATATCGTACAGGGTACTCTAGTGACATACCTGTCCACTATACAAGTACCAGGATACTGTAGTGACATATCCTCTCTCTATATCGTACAGGGTACGCTAGTGACATACCTGTCCACTGTACAGTACAGGGTACTATAGTGACATATCCTCTCACTATATCGTACAGGGTACTCTAGTGACATACCTGTCCACTGTACAGTGCAGGATACTGTAGTGACATATCCTCTCTCTATATCGTACAGGGTACTCTAGTGACATACCTGTCCACTGTACAGTACAGGGTACTGTAGTGACGCATCCTCTCACTATATCGTACAGGGTACTCTAGTGACATACCTGTCCACTGTACAGTACAGGATACTGTAGTGACATATCCTCTCACTATATCGTACAGGGTACTCTAGTGACATACCTGTCCACTGTACAGTGCAGGATACTGTAGTGACATATCCTCTCACTATATCGTACAGGGTACTCTAGTGACATACTTGTCCACTGTACAGTGCTGGATACTGTAGTGAAATATCCTCTCACTATATCGTACAGGGTACTCTAGTGACATACCTGTCCACTGTACAGTACAGGATACTGTAGTGAAATATCCTCTCACTATATCGTACAGGATACTCTAGTGACATACCTGTCCACTGTACAGTACTGGATACAGTAGTGAAATATCCTCTCACTATATCGTAAAGGGTACTCTAGTGACATACCTGTCCACTGTATTTTGCAGTATGCACTGTCTGGAGTCGACGTTCCTCTCTTTTTCTCGTGTCCAAAATCACTATAATTTCGTCTAATAGTGGATTTACAAACACTTGGCTACCCTCTATTTAGCACCTCATACCTGATGTTGGATCAATTAAATTTTGTCTGATGTTGGATTTAGAAACACTAGGTGACCCCTCTATTTAGTATCTCAAACCTGAGGTCGGATATACTTGCTCTTTTCTTAGCTGAATCCAAAATACCAAGTCTGACCCGATCTCCAAATTCCAATTTTATAGGCCTCCCTGCTCCTTTCTTGTGATCAATTCCAGCTCCACTCTCAGTATTCGTCTTTACCCTGTACACAGTTGAAAGAGGAGTCTGCTGTTTCTGACAGTGTGTGGACATAAGTGATACCTTCATTGTACAACTCTAAAATCAACCTTCCGTTCTCTTCTCATTTTGGAAAATGTCGTCTCTACAGTTTCCTGTACTATATAGTGAACACGTATGTCACTACAGTATCCTGTACTATATAGTGGACACGTATGTCTCTACAGTATCCTGTACTATATAGTGGACGTATGTCACTACAATATCCTGTACTATATAGTGGACACGTATGTCTCTACAGTATCCTGTTCTATATAGTGGACGTATGTCTCTACAGTATCCTGTACTATATAGTGGACACGTATGTCTCTACAGTATCCTGTACTATATAGTGGACACGTATATCTCTACAGTATCCTGTACTATATAGGACACGTATGTCTCTACAGTATCCTGTACTATATAGCGGACACGTATGTCTCTACAGTATCCTGTACTATATAGCGGACACGTATGTCTCTACAGTATCCTGTACTATATGGCGGACACGTATGTCTCTACAGTATCCTGTACTATATGGCGGACACGTATGTCTCTACAGTATCCTGTACTATATAGTGGACACGTATGTCTCTACAGTATCCTGTACTATATAGCGGACACGTATATCTCTACATTATCCTATACTATATAGTGGACACGTATATCTCTACACTGTATATATAGTGGACACGTATGTCTCTAGTATCCTGTACTATATAGCGGACACGTATGTCTCTACAGTATCCTGTACTATATAGCGGACACGTATGTCTCTACAGTATCCTGTACTATATGGCGGACACGTATGTCTCTACAGTATCCTGTACTATATAGTGGACACGTATGTCTCTACATTATCCTGTACTATATAGCGGACACGTATGTCTCTACAGTATCCTATACTATATAGTGGACACGTATGTCACTACAGTATCCTGTACTATATAGTGGACACGTATGTCACTGGTATCCTGTACTATATACGTATGTCTCTACAGTATCCTGTACTATATAGTGGACACGTATGTATCTCTACAGTATCCTGTACTATATAGTGAGACACGTATGTCTCTACAGTATCCTGTACTATATATAGTGGACACGTATGTCTCTACAGTATCCTGTACTATATAGTGGACACGTATGTCACTACAGTATCCTGTACTATATAGTGGACACGTATGTCTCTACAGTATCCTGTACTATATAGTGGACACGTATGTCTCTACAGTATCCTGTACTATATAGTGGACACGTATGTCTCTACAGTATCCTGTACTATATAGTGGACACGTATGTCTCTACATTATCCTGTACTATATAGTGGACACGTATGTCTCTACATTATCCTGTATCCTATATATAGTATATATGTCTCTACTGTACTATATGTGGACACTATGTCTCTACATTATCCTGTACTATATAGTGACACGTATGTCTCTACAGTATCCTGTACTATATAGTGGACACGTATGTCACTACAACGTATCCTGTACTATATATATAGTGGACACGTATGTCTCTACAGTATCCTGTACTATATAGTGGACACGTATGTCTCTACAGTATCCTGTACTATATAGTGTGACACACGTATGTATGTCTGTGCTATATAGTGGACAGTATGTCTCTCCTATCCTGTACTATATAGTGGACACGTATGTCTCTACAGTATCCTGTACTATATAGTGGACACGTATGTCTCTACAGTATCCTGTACTATATAGTGGACACGTATGTCTCTACAGTATCCTGTACTATATAGTGGACACGTATGTCACTACAGTATATCCTGTACTATAGTGGACACTATATGGCGGACACGTATGTCTACAGTATCCTGTACTATATAGTGGACACGTATGTCTCTACAGTATCCTGTACTATATAGTGGACACGTATGTCTCTACAGTATCCTGTTCTATATAGTGGACGTATGTCACTACAATATCCTGTACTATATAGTGGACACTTATGTCACTACAATATCCTGTACTATATAGTGGACACGTATGTCTCTACAGTATCCTGTACTATATAGTGGACACGTATGTCTCTACAGTATCCTGTACTATATAGTGGACACGTATGTCTCTACAGTATCCTGTACTATATAGTGGACGTATGTCTCTACATATCCTGTACTATATACACGGACTACAGTATCCTATCTATACAGTATGACTCTACTGTACTATATAGTGGACACGTATGACTCTACAGTATCCTGTATATATGACACGTATGTCTCTACAGTATCCTGTACTATATAGCGGACACGTATATCTACAGTATCCTGTACTATATGGCGGACACGTATGTCTCTACAGTATCCTGTACTATATGGTGGACACGTATATCTCTACAGTATCCTGTACTATATAGTGGACACGTATGTCACTACAGTATCCTGTACTGTACTATATAGTGAACGTACTATATAGTATCCTGTACTATATGGTGGACACGTATGTCACTACAGTATCCTGTACTATATAGTGGACACGTATCTCTACAGTTTCCTGTACTATATAACGGACACTTATGACTCTACAGTATCCTGTTCTATATGGCGGACACGTATGACTTATGTCTACAGTATCCTGTACTGTATGGCGGACACGTATGTCTCTACAGTATCTCTACTGTACTATATATAGTGGGACGTATATCTCTACATTATCCTGTACTATATAGCGGACACTACAGTATGTACCATATCTCTACATTATCCTATACTACAGTATCCTGTACTATAGTGGACACGTATGTCTCTACAGTATCCTGTACTATATAGCGGACACGTATGTCTCTACAGTATCCTGTTCTATATAGCGGACACGTATGTCTCTACAATTTCCTGTACTGTATGGCGGACACGAAATGACACTCTACAGTATCCTGTACTATATATAGTGGACA